ATTCTTGGATGCTTCTCTTCTCCAGGATGAACAACCCTGACTCTCTCAACTGTCTTCATGGGAGAGCTGCCACAGCCCTCTGATCATCTTTGTGGTCCTCCTCTGGACTCACTCTTAACAGGTTCATGTCCTTCTTATGCTGTGGCTCCCAGAGTTGGAAGCAGCACTCCAGATGGGATCTCTCCAGAGCAGAGCAGGGGGGTGGAATCCCCTCCCGTACTCATCTGGTTGCACTTTTTTTAATGCAGCCCAGGATATGGTAGGCTACAAATGCACATTGCCTGGTCATGTCCAGCTGTTTATCTATGACCTACACTGTCATGTCCTTCTCTGCAGAGCTGACCTCAATGAATTTTTCTTCCAGTCTGTACTCACGTCTGGGATAGCCCTAGATACAGATGAGGCACCTTGCACTTTAAATTGTTGAACCTCATCAGGTTCTTGGCCTAATTATCTGAAAAGTTCCAGAACTTCTAAACTAATTTCAAAATCAGAGGCTTAAAAGAGCATCAATATCTAAGCAAAATGACTGGTTATATATTATTAATAATAATTCTTTGAAAATGACCATGTTTTAGAATATAATAATTGTACAATTCTAACCAGTAACATAGTGAAGTAGAGTAGTCAAGGAGAGAACTTCATCTAAATTACAGATACTGTTTCTGATAAAACATAAAAGTAGGTTAAAAACCAAATAAAAATCAAATTATGATTTTGTCTCCCTGAAATTTATGAATCACAGAAAAACAATAGAAACTGAAAAGAAAATTAAAATAATTTACATTTTTATTTTATTCAGGTTTTAACTCCTCTTTAAGTAATAAGCTCAGCACTTAAAGTTGAAGAATCTTACTCATAAAAGAGTGAAGGGTTGAGGAAAACACCAAATTATAAAATGTGAAAGCTTTCCTTCTCTTCATGTCCCTCTACCTTCTTTACCAATTTCAGATTGTGGTGTATTGACCTTTGTCTATGTGTGAGGCCCAGGTGACACCACTAGTCTCGTTTACCAAATCATGAAATATACTTTGTCCAGCTACTGGTCTGTGGTTTCCTATTGGTTCAGGAAATTACATAATGAATAATGCCATTACCTTAACTTCAGTTGTGGGTAACGTTGATAAGAAATAATCTTTCAACACATAGTGGCAAGAACCTTACGTGTATGTCCTTCAGTTTAGTTCTAGAATAATTTCTGCATTGTGTACTTTGCCAATAGATTTCTGTGTGATAGACTATACAAGAGTATATGTGTTGGATAGGATCAGTTTCATTCTTTAAATTAGCATTTAAGTGGGCCTGGAAAAAAGTAGAGTCCTTGGTCTCCAGATCAGCATACTTGTTTTTCTTCACTACTGGAATGCAGGCTGTAGCCAGGATGCAGACTTTTACTGTCATACTCTCTCAGTGACAGTATGTGCCCTGACATCCATCTTAACAATCACGAAAAAAAATTACTGTCTCCCCATCCCAGTCTTCAAAACTCTTGCAAAATCCTTAAGGAGGGGTTATTTGGTAGAAATGCTCTAAGTCCAAGGTCTCTTCATGCTTCCCTGTTATGTAAAAGTTCATGAGGATGCTGAAGAATTCCACTGCTGGAAGATGAAAGCACATGTCTAGGACAAAGGCAAGGCTTCCATGTTCTATGAAAACCAACCTAGAGGCTGCATCTCAAAATAAAATATGGCTAAGGCATTATGCAATAGTGACAAACTGAATATTTCTTGAGAGAGACCATTAGGAGGCAGATAGGTTTGACAACAGACACAAGGTTGCCTGCAAAATTAAGCCACTAGCAAATTTGAAGCCTGTTCATATCAACAGCTTGATCACTATGGGTGAAAATTAGATACAAATAGAGTACTACTAGGATGTTTCTGTGATGTCTGTAAGCAAAGGTTATAGAGGAATATTATTTGATATCTGGAAGAAATCTTAGCAATACAGTTTTGGCCAACATAGAGTAAAGAAAGAACTCTTTATATTTGCAAGACAAAAAGTAATAATGAGAAGAACATTTGTTTGGATCTTCTGTGCATATTAGAAAGAGTGATTTAGGCTATAGGAAGGACAAAAAAACTTAAAGGGAAAGTTAGTTTGGTTTGAGCTCCCTTTCACAGAAGGAAAATAGAATAAGTGGTCAGCCCCTTACAGTGATGAGCTTTCTTAACCCCTTTTGGGTTATGGAAAACAGAAATAGTCTCTTCACATCTGTCTAATTTAGCCATTAGGAACAATGGGAAATCCCACAACAAATTGCCATAAAAGGGAAAATAAAAAACCCCAAAGAAGTATTCAGTGTTTAAGACAGTCACTGATTCTATACTAGGAAGCCACCATGAACTGAACTGAATACAGTGCAGAAATACTGAAGCTGCTGAGTTGACTTTTCCTGAGCACCTAATGTAAACACGATGCCAGGTATGATGTGAACTGATGATATTGCTGTCTCTTAGGTTCACCAGGAACTGACAGAAGGGATCAAGATAATTTTCATGGTCCCTTAACATCATAAACTTCTCGATGAATCCCATCTGAAATTAACATCAAAACATGTGATTGATTTAGCTGCCTGGTTGTTGAATGTTATCTCTTGATTTGCTATCCTCCAGAAGATGTTTTTGTACTCTCTGTTGGAGAGTAATGTTCTGCAGAAATCTGACATAGGATCCAAATATTAAACCCTTGCCTGTTGCCTAATGGCAGCATAATATTTATCTGCTATATAAATCTATATATAGCCTTTAAGGCTCATTGACATCCCAGTATGTACTGTTGGTTGCTTTTAGTTTCCTAAGATTTTATTCTTGTGGCTTAGGAATGCACAATCACATTGCCAATTCAAGTGGAAAATGTAAATTGAGTAACATTATGCTTCTTGCTTACTTTAATACAGGGAGACTGGGTGTCAGTAGTTTCACAAGCAGAGTAGTAAAATCCTCATTATTATATCTAAAATGTTTGAATTTTCAGTCAGATATAATCAGAATATAACCCTATTGCTACTATTTAATCATATCTGAAAGCACATGAGTAAATGAATTTATAGTTTTGTTATAGAATAGAGTTACTAAACCTCTCTTATTTGGTCATGTTCCCTTGTTTTGTCGTAAACAGTCTTATCCCAGATGCAAGGAACTTTCTTGTTGGAAAACATATATGAACTTTTGATCTGCAAAATTATGAGAGAAGTTTGCCTGCTTATTCTGAAATATCTTGTTATTTTTAACAATTGTATTTATTAGATACTTACTAGATGGTTCCAGCCTCACTTGTAATTTCATGAGTTTAGTATTACTTTTCAGAAACTGTGAACTCACAGCTGCAAGGAGTAAATGGCTGACAAAGTAGGGATTTGTTCTAACACAGTAAGGTCTGAAGTATGTGGTTATGTACTGGGATTCTCCCACTCTGATTTTTTCTTTTCACAGTAAGATTTTGCTAACTCCTCCTTACAAGAAGCTAGCAGTGCTTGAAGAAATTATTCTTCTAATAGCAACAACTTTTTCATTTCAGGCTCTCTAATAACATTGTATAGATATTTGCATTGGTAAGAGTCTCAAACTTGCACAATCAAGAGACTTCATTGAGACTTCATTTATACTTCTGGCATTCAGGCATGGATTTATATCTGTGTTTTAGGTTGGTAGGAATAGGGATTTCTGTACAAGAATGAAATGTAAGTGAGAGTCTGGAGTCAAATGTGTGTCCTGACTTTCACAATCATGCTGAAAACTCATCCACAGGAGGGGTTTAATCACAACTCCAGCCACAAGGGACCATCGGTCTCCCTTGCCATCCTCATCAAGACACCAAGCAGAGGAGCCTGAGGACTCTGAGCAAGAGAAGCTGAATTGGCTTAGAGCTGAAATATAATGAGCAGGCATAGCCTCTGTAATTCTTTTAGCTGAAAACCTCACTGTCTTAGTGAATCAGATTGGTGTATTACATTCTATTAAAACTAATTGTCTACAGGACTCATAGGGTAACATAATATTATTTTAACATTTTTGGCTCTAAGACTGTCCTTATACCTTTAAATATAAAGATTATTTCTTGGAAAAGTGATTAGAATATTAAAACTCTATAAAAGTAGGCATTAGCTGATGATCCTGTCATTATGTTGAGTACCCATGGATTCACCTCAGCACACCTAGTGATTTCACAAAGGCTATTATCTCATGGCTATATCCCCTTCTTCTGAGCTTATTACTTTAAATAAAAAATGTTAATGGTTTCTGAGAAGCTCATGATGAGAAATGGAGAATTCCTTAACAAAGAAGCATGCTTTCCAAATTTCAAAGCTTGCATTAAACTTTCCAGCAAATGCCTGAAATTCTCAGTTGGCCAATAATATTGCAAGGTGAATTCAGCCTTCTTTTATACAGAGTTGCCATTTGGATATGCTTTATTATTATTTATTAAATTACACAGTGCTGCATGTTATGCATAGCAATTACATAAGAATGTGCATTATGCTTTCACATACAGGGAGAAGGGAATGAAATTATACATTCTGAATCATAAATGAGGTCAGATGGAATGATCTAAAGCCCCTTCTGACCTTAAAATCTGAGGTCACACATTGATCTCAGAATAATGGGTACATGGGTAGAGGAAATGATGGACAATTTTAAAATCTGAAGAGAAGACAGAATGGCGTGTATATATTTGGCTGTACTGCATGTACGACCCTGTGCTGGGTGAGTGAAGATGCCTGAATGTTTTTGAGTGAGTCACAAGGAAACAAGGTTGGAGAAGTAGGTGTTTAGATGGAATTCAGTCCTTTAATTCTGTAATTCAGACCTGTAATTCTGTGCAGACTGTTTGCACTCATAAAAAAGGCTTTGGGTGTCAGGTAGTAATCTGCCTCCTTTCAGAGGTACTCCAAGACCTTTCTCTCTTTATCCCCTAGATCAGTGGAAGCTGAGTCTCCTTACTCTCAGACCATATCCTTTTGACTTGCATATTTCTTCTCTACTTTCAAATTCTTTCAGAGCTACAGAAATAGCATCTTCTGGGCTCCTTGGACATAGTAGTGCAAACTACAGAGAACCCATAAAATTATTTGGTGGTATGCCAAATATAATCACAATTCAGAACCATCACAACATCTGGGATCCAGAGGTAAGAGGGTATGAACGCTGGCAATATTTTTAGTTAATCCAGGGAATAACCAACCTTGAAGAAACCATGCACAGACTTCTTGGCAATCAATTAAAACATTTAGAAGGGAGGAGTAATCAGACTGTGACTTTTGCTGGAAGGAAGTGGAAGGAGGATAAAATGCTGGAGATGAGGAGACCACACTGCTGACAGCATGGCCAATTGTGATATAATCTGTGTATTTTTTTCTTCTTAGTTACAAAACAAAAAGACAAACAAAAGTCCTTAAACTAAAGGAAAACCTACCTGGGCATATGGAGAAGAAATGTCAATGAAAACATTACTACCACGGAAAAATATATCTCAAAAAATGAAGTTCCCAGGGGTACTGGAATGTTATTATTTACTAGGGCTAATAAAGAAACAAGAGAAGGCAGAGGTATTATATTTTTCAGGTGAGAAGCCTATTCAGGCAAGAAAATATATCAGCCAAGGAGTAGAAGAGAACTGGCACACACTGTGCACTAAGAATGATGCTGGCAAAGGCCTAACTGAATGAAAGCCAGAGTGGCTCAGTGTGCTGGATTTCTGTTACTGCTAATAAAAAATCTGTTAAAAAAGGCATTAGAGAATTTCAGGGAACTTGTCAATGAGATTTCCTGCTAGAATATTGAAGAATGATTATGTTATGCTGAATAAATAAGAATTTAATAGCATTCATTATGCATAAGGAATATAGACATTAAGAAATGTTTCACCTACCTGAGAAATGGCCCTTGGTTTTGTACTTCTGAGAAATTCTGAGTTCTCTTTCTCTGAACAGGGAGGTGAGCTGAGTATAACATATCTTCCTAAGCAATGCCACCTTTTTCCAGCTGATATCTTTACAAAATTTTTATCAATTCCTCTTTATTTGCCTTGCCAACATCACCCTGGATTTATGAGAAATATGGACTATGCTGACTAATCTTTTGTCCAGTCTCCTCAAATAGAAAATCCATAAATTAATACAATTGAGAAGGGGAAAAAAAAGAGATGTAACCCGCCTTAGGAAAATATCTATCTAAGCAGTATTTAATAAAAAACTAAGATTATTAGCACAGTAAGTGAATAGTCCCTACACTTTAGTGTGACCCCTCCTTCTGCATGTGTGGGTGGGGTAAGACTGCTCTGTGTGGGATGGACAGACATCTGTCTACTCTTGCGATACAGTCATAGTATCATAACCTGAAGTTTATGGGCATTCAAGACATAACTAACTTTAACATAGGCTACTCACAAAGCAGGAATTGAAGTACAGTTTTCCAGTGGTTATGATGAGCTGATCTGAGAACTGTTAAGGTGTCTCAGTCAGTTGGAACAACAGTCTGGAACAAGGACAGATACCTTCAGCAGAAAAGATGGGTACGACAGTGCCAGTGTATCGCAAAAAAGGAGGGCTGAGAATTCTATTTTACCTATGTCACTTTTCTCCAAACTGTCAAGTGTAGCCAGTATAAATGTATACTTGTATAGTTGGTACAAATGTGTAGCCAGTCAGGACAAGGACTAGAAGGTTAAGATCTTCTAACCTTTGGGATATTTGATCTCTCCTTCCCTTCTGAAAAATGAAATAACTGGACAGCAGCATGTGACAGACTTGCTTTGAATTCATTAGTAAAGATGGTTTTGACATATAGCTTGTGATCATTAGCCACTATAAGCACATTAAAGGCATATCAGCATGGTATAATGCTGTACCCTACAGCCATACTTTAGGCATCTACTCACTGTTAAAAGTTAATATCTAGATTCAGAAGGGAGTCAGAATGTAGAGGAATAGGCTTACAGTTCCTGCAGTGTTCACTCCAGTATTTTGGAGTGCCAGTCTAGAAAGCTAAAGATACACTGGGAAGAAAGTATTGGGGACACAGTAAATTCATCCAGTCCTTGGAAAGATATGGCATGCACTGATTTTCCATTCTAGGATGTTTAAACCATGGTCATATTTAAGACACTAGCAAAGATAAAGTGACAGATTCTGTTTAAACTCTGATCAGGCATAAGGGGAGGGTAGAAAACCTTTTCACATAAGGGCCCATAGCTTGCATGTTGTATGAAGTACTAACCTGGATCCAAGAAGATGTAAATAAATCACAGCTGGGGTAGTTTTAGGAGAATTAGTTGTGCATCCTCTCCCCTCAAGCCAGGACAGAGCTCTTTTCTCCATCCTTATGCAAATGTAGTGTGTCAAATCTGAGTCCTGTGCACAATTTCTTGAGTTCACATTCTAATAAAGAGACAAAGGAACACTCAGAAATATTTTCTGGTATTTCTGGTGCAGTCTTCTCAAAGTCTGTCTATAACAAAGCCTTCTTGAAACAGTACCAATGAACTCTATACTACAGACTGGATATGAATATATGCAAACCTGCTGCCTTAAAACTAAGCAATGCCACAAGATTTTATCACACATTTATACAAACCTGTAAGTTTCTGCTTTGAAGGAGAGTTATAGGGTCAGGAAAGGGCAGGAAAGACTGGTTACCAGAGAGAAAATTGTCATGGCTGAGCTAGTATTTCAAAGACGTTCAAACTTCCCTATAGACGGTTAATTTTGCAACTTCTTAAGTTGCTCAGTCCATCCATTAAAGCACATTTTTGTGTTCAGATGATACATTAATAGTTGAAACCCTTGTTGTACCAGACCCAGAAATAAGATCTGAAAAATATGTAAACAGTTCCAGACATTCTCTGCTTGGGTGAGGTGAGGAAAGACCTTGCACTTCAGTTTGAAATGTAGACCTTATGTAAATTCAAACTCTCCACTTAGGTTCCTGTTGGGACTTCACAGAGTACTTGCTTTCTTTCATGCTAGATTTATTTGAATGACCTTATTATGGAAAATGGGATTTTATATCTCATTGCCCATTACATTTTTTTATTTGTTACAATGAAAACATTTCATTAAAGCCCTTATTGAATAGCTAAGTGTGAATCTTGAGAATGAATAAAAGTCATTTATTGAATCAGCCTTCACTGGAGCAAAGAAAGCATGTACAGCTGCAAAACTGAAATGCTCAGTGCACTTTGAGTTTCATAGGAAAATGCTACAAAATCCAGCTCGAGTTTACTTTTTAAATAAATAAATGAAAGGCCCAAGTTGTTCCAGTTCAGGGCCAGCCTTCATCCTTTTTGTGGACAGATAGTACCTCCTAGGTGGAGGGGAAGTGAAGTCCCTGCTACATCCTGTCTGCGACTGCAAGTGGCCATCCTCACTCTGGCAGTCCTCCTTGCAAGGATGAAAGGAGTGGACATTTCAACTCCTGCACCTTGTCTGTCCTTCAGGGGATGCAGGGAGTTATCAGGATCTGTTTCTCCTAAAAGAGAAAATAGAGCCACCGGGGCTTGTGATGCCTGTATCAAAGAAACTCAAATTGTAATCTCCCTCTGTCCTCCAATTAATTAAATTACTAGAATCATTCTGAAGCTTTAACTTAAGCTATAATTCAGTTCTTTCCTCTTTTTAAATTATTTAAAATCAAAATGCAATGTAGGAAATTCAAATATACGTAGAGATCACAGATTTTAATTTGAGGTCATTATTGATGTACACTGTGGTTGTATTTCATCAGCTAAAGAAAGGGGAACAGATTTTGCTCCTTGCTACACAACTGTAAATCTAGAGAAACTCCACTGATTTCAGTGGCATTTATTCTTGAATCACCCTGGCTTAGTTGACAGCAGAGTATGCCTGACTGTGACTCCACAGAGATATAGACTGTTTATATGTTGAGTCTATTGTTGATTAAATATGCACACAAATGCAGCAAGCCATCAGTCAAAGAAATCACATTTGCTCTGCTGCCAGGATGTAAGCTAAAATCCTGAAAAGAGAATGTATTCCTCTGATATCTTGAATGATACAATTTCAATGGAAATCATTGCTCCACATTATTTTAATGTGATTAGTGCCTGTGAAAGGCGATGAATTGCAAATGGGTGTCCTCTCTTCACCGATTAAAAACCAAAAAATTTCTCAGCTGGTATCTCTGCCCTGTTCTACCAGTCATCCTGGTCTAAGGGTCTCCTATGACAAACCAGAGATTTCCACTGCCATTGCTACTTTTTCTGAGGAGCATGCAAACAAGAAACCTGCTTTCCTGAGACGTGAATGTTGGCCCACTGCATTTCTTATGATCTAGCCTGCCATAGCAGAACTCAGCTGCTGTCAAGTTGTTTCAGGTCTTATCTTGGGATTGAAAAATGAAAGTTCAACTAAGTATTATTAAATAATGTTCCAGTAATTAAACATCCATGTACAAGCTATGCATAAAAAGTCTGCTTATTACTGACAGGGGTAACTTTCTTGGATGTCCATAAGTCAGTGCTTAAAACAACTTATCACAAGAATTATAGATAAATAGATATGATTAGGTAGATCTTATCAGGTCTGCCCAATTTTTATTACAAGATTTTTATTACAAGATTCACCGATTCTCTATGTATCTTCAGCATCTTGTAGCATTTGGTTTCAGAGATGTTGCAAAGTCTAATAGAAAACATTCATGATAAAGAAGCAATAAGATGAATAGTCAATTATCTTTCCAGCTCTGAGAATCCTAGTAATCAATATTTTTCTGAGGACAGTTGAATACATTGCATTTAGCAGTACATGAATAGTGACAATGATATAGCACTTGGATATAATACTGACTTAATGTGTGTTTCTTGTTTATTTACAGATGTCTTGATTCTCCATAGTTTTGATCACTCATTCGAGGTACATGGAATTTATACTCAGCTGATTCTTTAAGTTTGTGTAAATCTGGTCCTTTGTGGGGTTGGGTACAAAGGTCAGCATGTTCCTATACAGAATTTTGGTGAAAAAGAAAGGGAAATATTTCACAAAAACCTCCTCAGGATCTGTCTCTTGTCTTTCTTTTTTGCACCTTGATTGGTACCTTTATTTCATTGGTTAGTGCTTTTTGTTCTTAGTGACAGTATTTATGAGTAACTGCATTGAATCAGTAAAACTGTTTGGGGAGCATTCATGCCATTAAAAAAATATATAAAACCCAGCAATGTGCTAGGTTTAATACTCTTACTGGCAATGAATGAACATCAGTACAATTCTTAGCCTTATTTTCTCTTCATAAAATCAAAATATGCATTTACTCTACTAATAATAATATGAAGTACTATTCTGTTTTTGAACAATAGAAAAAGAAAAGGAAAGAACAGAGAAGCTGTCTGAGGTTCAATTTCCTATCAGTGTGTTCTCTGGACTGCTGGCACACAAAGGTTAACGAAACCTGTAACTGAAATAGTAAGTGATGTCAGCAGTTAGTACATTATCATTTTCTCTCATGTATTCATCTAGAGTGCAGAGCAGATAACTTTAACTATCATCTTCAGTACAAAGAAAAAGAAGGGAGTTCAAGGCATTGTCAAGGAGCCATTCAGCTTTGGCTCTTAATTAGAGTAAACACTGTAAAAAACATTTCCATTAAAAGAGAAAGTTTTAACCTCTCATAACCACATTCAAATGAGGGTGGAATGCATGCCACCTCATGGGAAGAGCTTGCAGTATAAAATTTTGCCAGTATAGCAGCTGCCAGTAAAAACTATTGTGATTTTCATTACACTGTACTCATCTATCATTGGAAAAATGCAAGGATGGGATCTTCCATACAAGTTCAGACATATGCCCTTGAGAGCTACAGAATTCCTTTCAATGCAATTCCAAATGTTAATATCCCCATAGGAATGCAGATCCAACAGAGGAACCTGCTATTCTCTATAGCCATCATATTCACCTCAGTGAGTGAACATCATGCATCAGTGTGGCTTGATACTGTGATTAGCTGCTTTGGGGCTGTGCTGAATAATCAGCAGGATTGACAGTTCTTCCTTAGGCTCCTGGGTTTTTTTATGGGAAGACTTTCCTTGATTTTTTTTAAGATTATTTATGGGTTTTTTATGATTTATTTTTTATGATTTTTGTGGCCTATATATGTATAGGCCACAAAACAATCTAGCACAGAACTAAATTAATATTTTAATTAGTTTCTTAAAAACTTTTTATTTTACATTATACCAAGGATTAAGTCAGAGTCTTAACAAGGATTAAGAGACAGTGGAGGGAACTCCACTACCACAGGATAATAGATGGAAGTTTGGGCAGCAACAGGTTCTCCTAACACAGTTTTAGCATGTGACATCCAAATTATCTGATTTGCTTCTGGTGAACTTCTTGCCAGATAGATATTGGCAATTTTGGAAGAACTATTGCTTGAAAAGAATGTGTTACTCTTTTCAAGAGAGCAATAGTACTCAAAAGAACACCAGTTAAAATAATTTATGTGATATAGAAGAAGAAGAATTAAAATTTCAAGGTCTGGCTTGAATTTAAGAGGCATTAACATTCTATACACTTTCTGAAATGAGGCTATTTAAGAGAATGATACTTAGTACTTTTATTAAAAATGCAATATTGAAATGCATAGCCAAGGATAACAAATACAAAACAACCTCACTTTACCTGAGACAGAAGTTTTACATTTAAAGACATCTAAGTAAAGTATTACTAGTATATGAACTGTGAAGGGAGAGACTTGTTGAGTCCCTACAGAGATATCTTAAAGTTTTATGATAAATGTTCAGATAAAGGTATTGAAAGGAACTGGGTGATATGTATATTTACTTCATTTTCCCTGTTTTTGACAAGAAAATAATATATTTTTAAATCAATGGTGCCAAACAAAAGAAAAATGCATAGCTGATGATGTCTCTACTGATGCATGCTAGGCAACTCAGGGACATATTTATCAGAATGGTTCAGGGAATCCACTGCACCTATTCACTCTATTATCTAATGGATTGATCCCTCAAACATTTATGCTTGGCTTAATGGCAGAATGACAATCACGGTCAGTCTGTGGGATTACCTGCCACTGAACACCAGAATGGGTGTTGGGAGGACTCGGTCCCAAATCCCTTTGTCAAGGTCTTTCAAATTCAATGACACTAGACTATCACACATCCAAAACCAGGCTGCAGCTTGTCATTTTTCCAGCATTTAACATGATTGGGACCTGATTCTTACTGACTTCAAACCCTTATGTACTCTCAGTGCCTGCACTCTGATTTTCAGAATTGTCACCAGAAGGCAGATCTAATGAGTAGAACAGAAGTTTGGATTTGACAATTTCCTGCATTTTAACTTCATGTATCAGATTAATTTTATCTGTAATATGATATATTCAATCACAGAAAAAGGTCTGGGTGGGATGCGAGACATCATTCAGCATCATTCTGGGACCCCAGTCACAGACCAAAATGATGTTACTTCACGTGTATGTAAGTCAGGAGAAGTCTGCTCTTAACCTTGAAATCAGGAAAGGTATGTTGAGAATTATTGAGGGAATGTGGGAAGAGCCTGCTGTAGATTTTAAGTCTTAAAATACTGTATAACTTCAACTTTTATGCTCAGGCCAAAAAGAAATGTCAAAACAAGATGAATTGAAGGAAATGGTCATGGACAAGAGACTGCAGAAAGAATTAACTTTTCACCTCCACAACTAGAACTGACCACAGACCAAGAGCAGACTGGTTTAGGTAACCACACGATGTTTAAAATCAGGCTAAAGGTTAGACCTAATCTGCCCAAAGACAGGATGACAAATGAAGTGCATCCACTTGCTATAATTAGATAATGATAAGAAGGCTTTGCTTCAGATTGACATTTGCCTTGCTTTGAACCTTGAACCATTTTGAACCAAAATGAACCGTGTT